GAGGGGAGGGGAGGAGGAGGAGGAGGAGGAGGAGGAGGAGGAGGAGGAGGAGGAGGGCAGGAGGAGGGGGCAGGATGGGGGAGGGAGGGGGAGGACGAGGAGGTCAGTCAGGCCAGGGTCCAGTCAAACAGAGTTCGGTCACCATGTGGGGCACAGACTGACCCCACGGTCAGATCTTTGAGTTCGGGCTGGAGACATGTGCGTCCGAGGTGCGCTGCGCGAGCGGAGGGAGGACGAGGTCTGGCGCTACGAGCTCTGCCGAGCTCGACAGCTTGCCGAAGAGAGGGGGAAGAGGGCGACGACGACGATGTCGAGAGAGGGAGGTGGGATCAAGTGCCGCTGCGTGATGACATGCGCTCGGAAACTTTTCGGCCGAGCGTGTTGCGCCATCGGCTCTGGCCCACCACGCTTCGGCGCGACACGCTTCGATGATGCTCAGGACGTGTGCTAGCCCAAACGTGTGCTTATAGTCAAGACGCTGAAATAAGGAACAGTTTGGGTTCGGAAGGGGCTCGATGTTCCTTAGGCACCTCCAGTGCTGTTCCTCGTGCCCTCCTAGGGCCCGGAGGCGCTTACAGGGCCAAGAAGGGGCTTCGTTCCTTATTGAGCGTTCCTTCTTTCAGCGGCCCGACTGTACCCTGTTTGGCTCCGCCGATAGCGAGCATTCTGTGTCGACCCTCGCTGAACCGCCTGCATCGTATTGAAGGGCCTCGGTGGACAGACACACGTTGGTGCTAACACACGTTCTGAGGATCATCGAACGCTATCCATATCCTGGTCCCCAGGCGTCAACATCCCGAGATTTTACCATCCCCCCGCCCCGTGGAGCGGAGCGACACGTGATCCGATCGCAGGGCTGCCTGTCGCCATTGGCCGCCGTCGCGACACGGTAAGCAACAGTTTCCGACGGCAACATGTTTTCGGCGTCACCCCAACATACTTGTACAATGTGTGCGTCGCCCTCCTAGGGGTGACGCGCGCACCGAGAAATCTTATAGTATATGCGTCGTGGCGGGCGTTTTCGGGCCACACCGCTCGGGAAACGACCGCGCACCTCCAAGGAGGACATGCAGTAGAAGTATGTCTTTGTGCCTCCCATGCTTCGGCGAGAGAGGAAGCGGATGATGCTCGATACGATACCTCCGCCCGTGGCTCCGCCGACTCTTCTTGCGCGCACGCCAAGGTTCGGCCAAGGGCTCGTGCCCCCTGGCCCTGAACGCGTCGCGCGGTGCGCGAGAGGTCGTCGTCGTCGTCGTCGACGTCGTCGTCGTCGACGTCGTCTTCGTCGACAGAAGGAGGAAGAAGTGGAACATAAGGAGGAGGAGGAGGAGGAGGAGGAGGAGGAGGAGGAGGCGGAGGTGGAGGCGGAGGAGGAGGCGGAGGAGGAGGACGTGGAGGTAAAACAAGGTGGAGGAGGGGGAGGAGGACGGGGAGGAGGAGGAGGAGGAGGAGGAGGAGGAGGAGGACTAGGACGGGGAAGGGGAAAAAGAGCAGGAAACCGAGGAGAAGGTTGCCGAGCATGATGACGTTGATGATGATGATGCTGATGATGCTGATGCTGATGCGGATGATGATGATGATGATGATGATGATGATGATGATGATGATGATGATGATGATGATGATGATGATGATGATGATGATGATGATGATGTTGATGATGATGATGATGATGATGATGATGATGCTGATGCAGATGCTGATGCTGCAGCTGATTTTATGCGCATGATGCTGCTGATCATGATGGTGATGATGTTGGTGTTGTTGTTGCTGCTGTTGATCATACTGATAATGATGCTCATGATCATGATGATGCGGATGATGGCGATGCTGATGTCGATGATGATGAGGGTGGTGATGATGGTGATGCTGATGCTGAGTATGACGATGATTCTGATGCTGATGCTGCTGCTGCTGATGGTGATGATGAGCTTGTTGATGATGCTGCTGATGGTGAGGATGATCCTGATGCTGCTGCTGCTGCTGATGATGCCGATGCTGATGAGGATGAGGATGAGTAGGATGTGGATTATGATGAGGATTAAGACGATGATGATGATGCTGCTGATGATGATGATGATGATGATGACGATGATGAGGATGATGCTTATGATGATGATCATGATGATGAGGATGAGGATGCTGATGCTGATGCTGATGATGATGCTGATGCTGATGCTGCTGCTGATGATGAAGATGCTGATGATTTCGGTGATGATGCTGATCATGTTGATGATGATGATTCTGATGATGATGAGGCTGATGATGATGAGGTGGAGGAGGAGAATGAGGAGGAGGAGGAGGGGGTCGTGGATGCTGCTGATCACGTGGGCGTTGATGAGGATGACGCTGATGCTGATGCTGATGCCGATGCTGATGCTGATGTCGCTGATAATGACGCTGCTGGTGCTATTGGTGGTGATGCTGATCGTGATGATGATGCTGCTGCTGATGATGATGATGATGATGATGATGGTGATCATGATGATGCTGACGACGATGATGATACTGATGATGCTGCTGCTGATGATGATGATGATGATGGTGGTGATGATGATGGTGGTGATGCTTATGGTGGTCGTGATGATGATGTTGTTGCTGATGCTGCTGATGATGCTGATGCTGATGATGCTGCTGTTGATGCTCATGATGCTGATGCTGCTGATGCTGATTATGCTGATGTTGATGGTGATGGTGATGCTGATGATGATGAGGAGGAAGCTGATGCTAATGCTGATCCTGATGTTGCTGCTGCTGCTGATGATGATGTTGCTGTTGATGCTGATGCTGATGATGAGGATGAGGGGGGTGTGGATGAGGATGTGGATGGGGATGCGAATGAGGATGATGATGAGGATGCGGATGAAGAAGATGCTGATGATGCTGGTGATGAGAATGCTGATGCTCATGATGAGGATGCCGATGCGGATGAGGATGAGGATGATGATACTACTGATGATCATGATCATGACGATGATGCTGTGATAATGATGCTGATGCCGCTGATGATGCTGATGCTGATGATGATACTGAGGATAGTGATGATGGTGATGATGATGATGATGATGATGATGATGATGATGATGCCGGCACTCATGCTGCTGATGAAGATAATGATGCTGATGATGATGACGATGATGATGTTGTTGCTAACGATGATGACAATGATGAGGATGATACTCCTGATGATGCTTCTGCTGATGATGATGCTGGTGATGGTGATGATGATGATAATGCTGATGATGCTTATGCTGATGATGCTGGTGATGCTGATGATGATGGTGATGCGGATGCTGATGCCAATGATGGTGCTGATGCTGATGCTGATGCTGATGATGATGATGATGATGATGATGATGATGATGATGATCATCATCATCATCATCATCATCATCATCAGTATGATCGGTTCCGCCCCCCCCTTTCCTTGAAGGGGGGGCGGTCCAGACCCCCCCCCCCTCCCCCCTTGGCGCTGGAAGGGGGGGGGGTCGACCCCCCCCACCTCCCTTTTTTTGCGCCGAGCAGGGGGCTGGGGAGGGGCCTCTCGGGTAGTGAGTAGGGAGTAGAGTGTTTTAAGGAGGGATTGGTGAGTAGTGGGTATTTGATAGTGAGTAGTGCGCAGTGAGTCGTGAGTGGTGAGTAGTGAGTAGTGGGTCATGGGTAGTGGTAGTCGTGAGTAGCGCGTATAAATTAGTGAGTAGTGAGTACTGAGTAGTGGGTAGTGAGTAGTGGGAAGCAAGTAGTGAGTAAGGAACTGTGAGTAGGGAGTTGTGCGGAGTGAGTAGTGTGTAGTCAGTAGTGCATAGTGAGTAGTAAGCAGGGAGTAGGGATGAGGGAGTAGACAGCAGCGACTAGCGAGGAGTGAGTAGTGAGTAGTGACAAGTGTGCAGTGAGTAGAGAGTAGTGAGTAGTGAGTGGTGAGTATTGAGTAGCGAGTAGCGAGTGGGGAGTAGCGAGTAGGGAGTAACGAATAGTGAGTAGTGAGTAGCGAGTAGAGCGTTGTGAGTAGTGAGTAGTGAGGAGGGAGTAGTCATGAGTCACTAGTGAGTAGTGAGCAGGGAGTAGTGCGTAGGGAGTACGGAGTAGCGGGTAGTGAGTAGTGAGTTGTGAGTAGTGAGTAGGAAGTAGTGAGTAGTGAGTAGTGAGTAGTGAGAAGCGAGAAGTGGGTATTGAGTAGTGGGTAGTGAGTAGGGGGTAGCTCGGGTTTGGGTTTGGGGTTCGGGTTAAGGGTTAGTGTAAGGGTTAGGATTAGTGTTAGGGGTGGTAGGGGTCGGGTTCCGGAGACCGAGGGCGCCGTGGCGAAAGGGGGTGGTGGTGGAATTTGGCGGCCAAAGGGGGGGAGGGGGGGGGGGTCGGACCCCCCCCACCCCTTTTGAAAGGGGTGGAGGTGGGGGGGTCCCCGACGACGGACCAGGAAAGGGGGGGGGGCGGGTTCCCGACGACGGATTGGGAAAGCGGGGGAGGGGGGGTGGTGGTTCCCTGACGACGGATCGGGGAAAGGAGGGGGGGGTCCCCCCTCCCTTGGGGTCATCCAGCGGCGCGCCCTCATAATGAGCATCATCATCATCATCATCATCATCATCATCATCATCATCATCATCACCCTCATTATCATACTCCTCCTTCTCCTCCTACAAATCATCATCAGCAGCATCCTCATCACCAGCATCATCACCATCATCGTCATCACCAGCATCATCATCATCACCATGATCATCATCATCAGCGTCATCATCATCAACATATCCTCATTGACATCTGCATCGGCATCATCATTATTTTCATCATTATCATCATCATCATCATCATCATCAACATCATCATCATTATCATCATCGTCGTCATCGGCATGGTCATCGTCATCGTAATCGTCATCGTCTTCGTCATCATCATCAGCATCGTACTCCTTCTCCTTCTCCTCATTTCTCCTTCTCCCACCTCCTCCATCCTCCCTCGTCCCCCCTCCTCCTCGTCCAACCCCCCTCCCTCCTCCCCCGCAGGCCATAAATGTCACGGGCGCCGGCCAGAAGGGCGACGTCATGAAGGGCGACGGGAAAGGCTGCGGCAAGGTCGCCGCGCCCTTCGGCGCCAACGGCTGCAACCCCGCGGGCCCTCCCGTCCCGCCCGCGGAGATGAAGTCCGGAGCCCGCGGGGGCGGGAGGAGAGCAGGGAGAGCGTGCAATAGCGCCCAGCATCACCAGTTCGAAACATATCCCCATCCCTATTTTTGGCATCATCTTACCTCGGTGCCGATCTCAGGGACCCCCTCAAATTCTGAGGGCACATCCCTGAGAACGTCATCGCTCTGTGGTTGCCCAACTCAGGGATAGGGATGAGCTCGAGGCTGGTGCTAGCAGTCTAGCACCCTGCTGCACACCCGGAACGATTGGCTCTTCCCGACTCATGTGCTCTAGTCTTGCGACTGGCGTCGAGGGGCAGCGCAGGCAGACGCCGACAGAAGGCAGGCCCGACACGCAACGACAGCCGGTGAGAGGTGGGTCAGGCGCAGCGCCAGGGGCGGAAGGGCTCAGGGGTGGGAGGCTTTCGGACGAAGCTTCGAGGTTCGGGATTGCCGGTTGTTTTCGCAGATTTTCGGCGGCTTTCCAGCCTCGGGGTGCCTTCCTGTTTTTGCGCCTCGCCGACATCTGTCCAGGGGCGCCCGGATCGTCCCGAACGGCCGCCGGAGAGCCGAGTTCTGGCCCGAGAGCAAGGGGGAATTTGTTGGGGAGGATAGGCTCGGGGAAGGGGTGCGTCGACCCCGTGTGCCCACTCATCGCCCGCAAGGGGCCTGATGGCTTCCCCCGCCCAGGACTGTGCGGATGTGCTGTTCGGGGGCACGTCGCCGATCTATCGGCGGTGCGTCGCCGATTCAACCTCAAATATCCCCCCCTGAGCCAGCCAGTCCCTCCCTGCTGTCGCACCCGAGGAGGCGGAGGGAGGGAGGGAGTCGACCGCACGCAAGAGAGACCCTTCGCCGGAAGGGGCTTCGGTGCGCGGCGCGGCTCCTTGGGGGGCGCGATGGGGGCCAAGCCCGAGCGTGCGGGCCGCTGTTGTCGCACTTGCGCGCAGCGGTCGGCAAGCCGCGCACCAGGGGTCACCCTTGCGTGTGCCCCAGGGGAGGAGGGACGGAGAGTGGGGGACAGGCGACGACCTAAACGCTGTTTTGGCGATGTCATGGGCCGTTTTCGTCTCGCTTTCGCGTCGCAGCACAGGCGGACTGGAGACAAGACGAGGGACAACGAGAACGGCACGAAACCGAAAAACATTGGTTTCGGTCGATCCCTGACGTGAGGGGCGGGGGGGAGGGGAGCCCAGGGAGGAGGAGGAGAGGAGGAGGAGGAGGAGGAGGAGGAGGAGAGGAGGAGGAGGAGGAGGGGAGGAGGAGGGGCCCAAGGAGGAGGAAGGGAGGCCCTAAGAAGGAGGCACAGGAGGAGGAGGAGGAGGAGGAGGAGGGAGGAGGAACGTCGTAGGAGGAAAGAGGTCGGAGTACGCGCACGGGGAAGCGGAGGGGAGGGATGAGGAGCTCCCCCCCGCCTCGTCGTGGGCTGCCCCCCCCCCCCCCCAGGAGTAGTGGTGAGCTGGAACCCCGAGAAGGGGCTCGCGGGCCGCGGCCACGCGCGCCGGCACGTCGGCGGGGCGGCCAGAGGCTGGCAGTCGCCTGCTGCGAGGGCGTCGGGGGCCAGCGGCAGGAGGCTGGGGGATGGAGGAGGAGGAGGAGGAGGAGGAGGAGGAGGAGGAGGAGGAGGAGGAGGAGGAGGAGGAGGAGGAGGAGGAGGAGGAGGAGGAGGAGGTAGGAGGGGAGGAGGAGGAGGGAGGAGGAGGAGGAGGAGGAGGAGGGCGGAGGAGGAGGAAGGAGGAGGAGGAGGAGGAGGAGGAGGAGGAGGAGGAGGAGAGGAGGAGGAGGGAGGAGAGGGGGAGGGGAGGGAGGGGAGGGAGGGAGGGAGGGAGGAGGGGGGAGGGGGGAGGGAGGGAGGGAGGGAGGGAGGGGAGGGAGGGAGGGAGGGAGGGAGGGAGGGAGGGAGGGAGGGAGGGAGGGAGGAGGAGGGGGGAGGGAGGGAGGAGGGTAGGGAGGGAGGGAGGGAGGGCGGGAGGAGGGGGAGGGGATGGAGAGAGAGAGAGAGGGAGGTGAGGCAGGGAGGAGAGGGAGGATAGGGAAGCTTCTGGGGGCGCTTCGGCTCGCGGTGAAGATATTCGTCACCTTGCTGCTGCTGCCGCACGAGTTCAGCGGTGGTGGGTGTGCGTTGGAATCGTGACATGCTGTTGCAGGAATGTAAGCGGGGGAGAAGGAGGAGGCGGACAACACCCGCTGATTTCCTCGTAGATTCTAGGAGGGGCCCGTCAGTCCAGACAATCTTCCCAACCGTCCTGTCCAACCGCACGCCCCTCACACGGCTCTTGGCCCCACAGGGAGCCCCAACCGAAGGCCGAAGTGGTAACGTCCCCACGCGGTTTCGCCCCCCCGTTCCGTGGCCCCATGCACAAGGGGCTCCACCGAAGGCCTCAGTGGCACAGTCCGCGTCCTCCTCCTCCTCCTCCTCCTCCTCCGCCCGTGTCAGCGCACCCTTCACTCGTTTCGTGGCCCCACGGGCCAGCTCCACGGCCCCAGCGGACCCGTCCGCTCCCCCCCCCCATTTTTCGGCGCACCCCTCAAGCGTTCCGTGGCTCCGTGGGGAGCTCCACCGCAGGCCCCAGTGGCGCAGCCCGAGGGCTTGGCCATCCGACCCTCGGGTCGCCGGCGCGCGCGAGGCTGAGCGAGAAGAGACAGCGAGATTTCACGCGACGGGATCTGGTAGACGAATCGGCAAGTCTTTGCGGCCACCATCTCGGCTGACTGTGTATGACCCCAGCGTCGGGGGGCGACGTAAGCACACTCATCACCGAGCTCTTCCTCTCTATATCTGGTCCCTCCCCTGTCCCTCCCCTGCTCCCTTGTTCCCCCTTTGTCCTCCTCTTTTGGATCTTGCTACCCTCCCCGCCCCGTCCTCGCCCTGCGTTTGGTCCTTATCGTCCTCTTTCTCCTTCTGCGAGGGCCCTCTTCTCTTCTTCCTTGGGAGCCCTCTGGGGGGCCTCGCCGCAGAGTTGATATTGTTGTGCATTTGCCTTTGCAGTGGTGCTTGCAACTGCGCAGGCAGTAGTATCTATCGGCGGCGAGCGAGAGGGGGAGTGAGAAGGATGAGGCCTTCTCAGAAGGCCCGGGAGCTTCTCAGGGGCCCGCGGCCTTCTGAGAAGTATTGCTGTGTCTTCGGAGAAGGCTTAGACAACTTCTCAGAAGGCCGTAGAACTTCCCAGCCTGCTGAGAAGGCCCGTTCCTTCTCGCTTCTTTCTGGGCGCGCCGCCGAATCTAGCAGCTTGAGGCTTCAAGTATTTATACCTAAGCCGCAGTTTGACCCGCGCACCTCCAGCCTGCGCAGCTGCGCGACGTGGCGCTTCCAGAACTGGAGCGCTCCGCGATGAAGACGGCTTTCGCGGAGGAGAGCTTGCCGATCAACCGGGTCCAGCTTTTCAACAACGGCATGGTCTCGGTCGAACGTAGCGGCATCGTTGAGCGGGACACCATGGTGAAGTTGAAGGTCCCCAGCTCGACTTTCGAGGAGACGCTGCGCACCATCTCTTGGACAGGCCCCGTCGAGAGCATGAGCAGGCTCAAGATGGACGCTGCGTACAGATCGCCAGCGAGCCTGGAACTTGCCGAGGGTTCTGTTGACTATCGCAGTATCATCGGCGCGCACGTTGGCGTCGAGGCACGCCTGCTCCTTGACAGCGGGAAGGAGGTGTGTGGCCTGATCGCAGGCGTGAGCACTGCGGGCGAGAAGTCGGAGGTGTGCATCGTGCAGCCGGACAGCGTGACCAGGACCCCTTTGGCGTCGGTGCGATCACTAACCTTCACCAACCCGCGAGTGCAGGAGGAGTTGCAGCAGACGCTCATGCGACGGCTGGTTGCGAATTCCAGTGATATCCGCGAGATTGAGGTTTTCACAAAAGAGGGTGGGACCATCTCCTTGACGTACAATCTCACAGGTATAGCGTGGAGCACTGGCTACCACATCGACATCGAGGGTGGGATGCACGTCAGATGCTACGCATGCGTTGATAATTACACACCAGAAGATTGGACGAACGTAGAGCTTGTGCTGATTGTGGGCATGTTGAGTGGCAAAGGCGGCGCTGGAGGCGACAGCGGCGGCAGCGAGGCCATAGGCAGTGGCATGCCGCTCATGGTGAAACTCACGAGTGGCAAGACGTATTCCATCAATGCCCGCTCGGACTGCAGGGTTGACGTGCTGCGCGACCACATCGCCGCTCGTGAGGGTGTCCAGGGTGCCAACATGCAGCTCATTTTTGCAGGGAGGCAGATGGAGCCTTCGAAGACCCTCAGGGACTATCCAGCTGCCTGCGGCAAACCCCGCGACCGTGGCTCTGCGACAGCTTATAGCAGGCAGGCGGGCCTCTCGGACCCATCAGTTTGGGCCTTTCGTGGTCTGTTGGGGGCTCCTGGAGGCCTCCTGCTGGCTTCTTGGGGGCCTCTTAGAGCCTTTCGGGCGCACGTTGCGGGTCTTAGAGGCGATCTTGGAGGGAAGGACTCTCGAGGACAGCTCGATTTCCTTCTTTTGGGTTTGGGGTCTTCTTTCGGGGCTCTCGGGCAGTCTTGTGGGCCTCTTGAGCCGTCTGGGGGCCTTTTTGGGCCGTCCCAAGGGGATCCCAAGACGATTCAAGAGGCTCCCTAGGGGGTCTAAAGCCAGCCACAAACAGCCGAAATGCAGTCCATGTCGCCCGAAGGCAGCCCCAAAGGCCCCCAAGACGGTCCCAAGACTCTTCAGGATGGCCTCGGGACGGCCCAGGAGGCCAAGGTGGTTCCGAGAGGATGCCCAAGAGGCTCTCGAGAGGCAAAACAAAATGGTTCCACAAGCAGTGCTTGCACGTAGGGGCTCCTGTTTCCCTTTGGAGGATCTGGGCCCGTCTGCGGTCCCGGCGGCCACGTTCCCGTCCGTCGCCGCACCGCATAGTTTACACCACATAACATTTGTAGCATTTCATCGACTGCACGACATGGTTCACACCACATGTGTTGCAAGCGCTATATATATAGATTGCACCACATAGCTTGCACCACATAGCTCATACTACATGTATTGCACCACACCGCGTAGCTCACACCACATGTATGGTGCACAACACATTTTGCGCCACATGGCTTACATCTCACAGCTCACACCACATAGACCAAACTTCGTGGGGATCAAACTGCATAGCTTTCACATCCATAGTGCAACAACTCACTGTTTGGGGTCCACGCTGGCAAGCATGTTCCGAAGGCGGCCCAAAAGGTTCCCAAGAAGGCTCCAAGGCAGCTCAAGAGGGCCTCGAGAGGCCCCGAGGCAGCCCAGGAGGGTTCCAAGACGGTTGTTGTTAGACGGTGTTGTTGGTTTTTGGTCTTTCGGCCTTACTCGTGGGTCCTGTTCTGCCCCTCCTCGGGAGGGGGGGCGGGCTTGTTTTCGCCCCTCATCATTTCAGTCTGTGGAGTTCTGAGGGTGGTTGTTGGTAGGGTTGGGGGTCGGCCTTAGAACGCATTAACAACAACAGCACCAGACAACAGACGAGCATTCTAACACGCCCACTCCGTGCAGGCATTGTGGCGGATGACATTCAGAAGGAGTGCACGATCCTCGCCATCCATAAGAAGGGGGGGATCGTTGCCGCCAACGACTTGCAGCTCAGCTGCTCAAAGGAGGACATGGTGGACCGGGAGTCCCTATCACTCTACCCCATTCCCAAGCCCGTGTCCATCAAGAAGGGCCATTCCTCTTTACTCCCTTACTGCGACGTCGAGCTCGACGGCGAGCTGGTTGCCATCTTCGACGCTGCCAAAGATCCAGAGCATCTGCTGCAGGGGCTACGCCTGCAAAACACGTCGGGCAAGACGCTCGAGTGCGGAAGCATACTCGTGCAGAAAGCTGGGACATATTTTGGAGAGTCGGAGGTGCCCACCCTTCGGCCGCTGGACGATTGTTTCCTGACCTTCGCGGTCTTACTTGCCACCAGGGTGAGTAAGCAGGACATGAACGAGCCTAACGTGTACACGCACGTTACAATAGAAGTTGCCGAAGTGACCCTGCGGGGCACCAAGCACAGCAAAACGACCTACACCGTGCTCAACAAGAGCGCGTCCAAGCAGGTCGTCTTCTTGCTGCACTCTTGTGACGCCGACAAGGACTTCGATGGGGTCGTGGGAGAGGCTGGCGTGGACGTGGTCGACGTCATGGGGCTGCGGCAAAAGCTGCGCTTCGAGGTGGACGCGGGTGCCGAGGTCTCGTTCGGCGTCCTCGAGAAGTGGCCGCACGCGGTGTCCATAGCATTGGGCGAGGAGTTGTTGGCCACCATGCCCGTGCCGTCGGTCGCCGCCGCACTTGGGCTGCCACAGAACGTCCAGGACGTCCTTGCCAGTGGCAAGGCGCAGGCCCAAGCTGCAAGGCATGCGCGAAGTGCACATCGGGCAGTCGTGTTGGAGAAGAAGGAGGCCACGCAGAATCAGCAAACGGTCCAAGATCTACTCAAGAGCATGCAAGGGGAGTCACACCGGCTCAAGTACGAAGAGCAGCTAGACACCACCTATGAGCGGGTGCTGGATCTGAGCGAAAAGGAGAAGGCCTCCCAGCTGAATGTTGAGTGCGAGTCCAGAACGTTAGCTGCGCTACTCAGCGGTCAGCTCAGCTACTCCGGGGCAGTTCCGACGGAGCGCCGCTATTCGGCTTACGACGATTCTGGGCTGTGGGGCTGAGCGAGGGCCGTAGGGGCGACTGCCCCGCGCCCTGTTTAGACATGTCCGGCTGCCGTCGGCCCACCCCCCGCCAACAGTGCAGCGTGCAGCGGGAGCGAGTGGAGGCCAGAACGTGTCCCCGGCCGTGCTCCTGGGGGGGCTCGGACCCAAGAGGCCCTCGGGAGGCCGCCCTCTGGGGGGCCTCTTGGGAGCCCCTTTGGCTCCCCCCGCGCCCCTCCGCCTCCCTCTTCCCTCCTCCTCCTCCTCCTCCTCCTCCTCCTCCTCCTCCTCCTCCCTCCTACTCCGTCTCCTCTCTCCCCTCCTCACCCTCCCTCCTCCTCCTCAGCTCCTCCTCCTCCTCCTCCTCTCCTCCTCCTATTTCCTCCTGTACGCTCCGCCTCCCTCTCCTCCTCCTCCTCGCTCCCTCCGCCTCCCCTCCTCCTCCTCCCCTCCTCCTCATCCCTCCTCCCCTCCTCCCTCCTCCTCCTCCTCCTCCTCCTCCTCCGCTCCTCCTCCTCCCCTCCTCCTCCTCCTCCTCCTCCTCCTCCCTCCTCCCCCCCCCTCCTCCTCCTCCTCCTCCTCCTCCCTCCTCCTCCTCCTCCTCTCCTACCTCCTCCCCTCCTCTCCTCCCTCCTCCCCCTCCCCTCCTCCTCCCCCTCCTCTCCTCCTCCTCCCCTCCCCCCTCCTCCTCCTCCTCCTCCTCCTCCTCCTCCTCCTCCTCCGCTCTTTCGCCACTGCCCCTGCGCCAGCCGTGCTCGTCCTCGGTCCTGGCCTCCTGGTGCTCGGGTCTGTGCCGCTCGCGGCTTGCTCGGAGAGTCGCAGCTCCGTGGCCTCGCCAGTGGATACGGGCGCGCCGCCACCACGAGGATCTTACCAGCCTGGAACATGTCCCTATCCCTATGCTGGGCACCTCCTCATCACGATGTCAATCTTAGGGATTCCCTTCTTTTTTGAGGGCGAATCCCTAAGATTGGTGTTCGCCTTTTGGCGTGTCAATCTTAGGGATAGGGATACGTTCGAGGCTGGTAAGGATCGGGCGGGCAGATCTGGCGGATCCTCCAGAGGCCCTCGACCGCAGGCACTCGTCGACAAGCGGCTGGGGTGTGCTCAGGTCTCGTTTGGGTCCCGCCCGGTGGGTCCGCGCCGCGCTGCCGCAGCGGTGTCCCCAGCGAGGGGGCCTCGTGCGAGCCCTGCCCCTGCCCCCCACGATCTCTGCGGGGGAGGGCGGGGTTCGCTTCGTTGGGGAGCTCTCGAGCGAAGTGAACCCCGCCCTCCCCCTCAGAAATCGTGGGGGGCATCACCAGCCTGGAAAATATCCCTATCCCTATGATTGGCATCGCCTCATCTCGATGCCGATCTTAGGGATTCCCTCCGTTTCTGAGGGCGCATCCCTAAGACTGTCGTCGACCTTTGGCTTGTTAATCTCAGGGATAGGGATACGTTCGAGGCTGGTTAGGGTAGGGGTGGGGTTCGCACGTGGCCCCCCAGCTGCCGCAGCGGTGCCCCCTAAGTGCGGGCGCTCCGGGTCGAAGGCCGCCGGTGGCCCAGAAGCGGCCGACGGCGAGCGAGCTGCCCCGTCGGGGACGGCCGGGAACGTGCAGGGTTCTGCGCGATCCCACGGGGGCCCGAGGCCGGCGCCGGGGGAGCAAGCAGGAGGGAACAAAAAACACACAGACACCATTCATCGCCGATTCCCCAGAGAACATGGGGAAATCTGGGAAGGGGGGGGGAAGACAAGAACCCAGAACATGCGGGGAAATGTGGGGAATCCTTTATTTGTGTGTATGTGTGTTTATTTGTGTGTCCCAGGGCCGCTTCAAACAAGCAATGCCGTAAGCATGCAGACTCGGAGGTCCGCGCGGACTTCTCGGATCGGCGCTGGGCTCTGGAGCGCGCCAGGGGCTGCGCTAGAGGCTCCGCCAGGGGGCCCCGACGCCGATCCGACGGATCCGCGCGGGCCTCCGAGTGTTCCGTTTGCGTCATTGTCTGATCCCCTAAATGCCGACCGCGAGCGAGGGAGGGGAGGTGAGAAGGGGCGGGCTTTCTCAGAGGGCACGAAAGCCCCCCTGCGTCCCGGGAAGTTCTCCCAGCTTTCCCCGAAGACACGGGGGGATTTCTCAGAAGCTGCGAGGGCTTCTGAGAAGCCCCGCCGCCTTTGAGAAGGCCTTCTCCTCCTTGCTTCCCCCCTTCGGCAACACCCAAACATACTTATACTACATGTGCGTCGCCCCCCCAGGGGCGACGCGCGCACCGAGAAATCTTATAGTATATGCGTCGTGGCGGGCGCTTCCTGGCCACACCGCTCGGGAAACGATACACTACAAGATGGGTATACTATATGTTCGGGTCGGGCTCGCGCCTCCAAGGCGGACACATAGTATTAGTATGTCTCTGTGCATCCCACCCCGGGGTGCGCCGCCGAATGTCCATCAAACTCGGCTCCCAGACCCCTCCCTGGGCCCCTCCGCCGCGACTTTTTCGCCTCGCGCATCGGGCTTCGGGGCTCCTGGTGGGGCCCGACGGCGGCCCCCTCGGAGGGCCGAAGGCGACGAGCAAGACGCCTCGAAGCCCGAACCTCGAAGTTCCCCCCCTCGAAGCTCGAAGTTCCCCCCTCGAAGTTCCCCCCCTCGAAGTTCCCCCCCTCGAAGTTCCCCCCCTCGAAGCTCGAACCTCGAAGTTCCCCCCCTCGCTCGCCGCCGAAAAAGCTCGGGCCGGGCGAAAGGGGGGGGTTGGGAAAGCCACGCCTGGTCGCAGCTCGGAAAATTGCCGCGTTGGGGCTCCGTGAGGGGTCCGCGGACCGACTTCGAGCTGCCGTTGCCTCAGCTCGCTCTGCCCCCCGGCCAACCCGCCGCCGCACCGACCCTGGCCAGGATCGGCCCCAGCCAGGCTATCGACTGGTCGCAAGAGTGACCCCTCGCTGGAGTGACCTTCTGGTGCGGGCTCCTCTCGGGCCGGACGAAAGGGGGGGGTTGGGAAAGGGGGGGTTACGAAATTTGCTGCATGTAGCTGGTTTCGGCCTCACCGAGGGGCCCATTCCTCGATACATGGCCGCTTCCGGCGCCGGGAGGCGCCGGGAAAATCAGCTACGTGAGCTGATTCTCAAACCCCCCCTTTGCTATCCCCCCCTTTCGCCCGACCCGAAAAGCCAAGGCGTCCTCGCGGCGCGAGCCCAGCGTGTGGAGCCTCGGCGGCGAAATCCGGGCACTGCCCTCGCCGATCAAGGATGCAGGCAGCTCGATAGGCGGCGGTGGTCGAGGTCGGAAGTCGTCGAAGACGAGGCGAAGTCCGAGCCATACTCGGAAACTGCAGCATATGCGTTACCAGTGGCGGGCTGCTTTGCAATCCCAGGAATTGTTGAGGGTCGGAGGCGACGTCGGGGTGGTGTGGTGTATACGTTTTTTCCCCGTTCTCCCGGGGAAACAAAGAAAAATGCATACACCAGGATCCCGTATACCCCAGGATCCGCTTCCCTGTGCGAGATTCATTGTGAGGCCAGACAAAGGCGTCGGTGTATAGAGTTCGGTTCCCTACATGCCTCCCATCGGTTCAGGAAGATTGATGGTTGGTGGGGGCAGGGGCACGGCCGGGTGGCTCTGGCACCTTGAACCCTCGAGGCCTTCCCTGCGCGCCCTCCTGCTGCTGCCGAGGCATCGCCAGCTCGATGCCTGGGCAGCACCGGGCCGATGCCCCGGCGTGGGCGGCGCCCGGCTACGCCCACGGACGCATGCCTCGATGCATGCGTATGCACACCCGTGCGGATGCCTGCGCGTCCGAGGCATGGGCACGGCCATGCCTGCACGCCGGTCGTTGAAAGTAGGTATTTCTGGATTCCCAGATCCCAATCTACTTCAAGCGCCTTCCTACCTTCAGGAATCGGCACGCTTTTGCTGCGTGTTGTTCTTCTCTGGGGGGGGGGGCTGGACCCCATCAGCTGACTCCGCCTTCCTGCTTCATGCTTTTGCCTACTTCTTCCGACCGACGCGTATGCATGCTCCGATGAGGCCCACGGGGGTTCGAGGTGGTGGCTGGCAGCAGCGCGAGCGGGCCGACCCGCGGGTTCCGACGTCGCCACCGACAGCCGTGGCCGATCCTTACCAGCCTCGAACGTATCCCTATCCCTAAGATTGGCACGCCAAAAGGCGACGACAATCTTAGGGATTCGCCCCCCCCCCCCCCCCCCCCCCCCCCCAAAAGGGAATCCCTAAGATTGGCATCGTGATGGGGAGGTGCCCCGCATAGGGATAGGGATATGCTCCAGGCTGGTAGCGATCGGCTTGCTGGGGAGGGCCGAGAGCGCCAATAGAAAGAGGCCCCGCGTGCCGCCGGGGCAGGGGCGCGCCGCTTCCCTTCGGAGCCGCGGTCTCTGGGCCCTTCCCTGAGGCCGTGCTGGCAGCCGTGGTGGCACGGGAGGGGGAGGAGGGGGAGGAGCAGAAGGAGGAGGGAGGAGGAGGAGGAGGAGGCGGAGGAGGAGGAGGCGGAGGAGGAGCAGGAGCAGGAGCCCAAGAAAGAGCGAAACGTGTCAGGAGGGGCCCTCAGGGATCCCCTAGAGTGGGGCCCATCCTGCAGGCGGAGGACGATGCGCGGGTCTCCCCGGAGCCCTCTGGAGGCCCCCCCCCCCGGAGGTCCCCGAGGCCTCGCGGACCACACGAACGCCCCTGCAAGAAGCGGCATAGTTTCAGGATGCCTCGATCCTCGAGGATCAGTCGGAGGACGAGAACCAGAGTGAACCCAAGACGTAACAGCGATGCTGCAAGGCACCTTCCCGCCCCACGTCCCCTCTTCGCGCGTCCCTGCAGTGTGTTCTCTACTCCACGTTTCTTCCCCCCCCCTCCTGCGGGGTAGCACACTTCGCTACAACGGTGCCCCCGTGTAGTTCGCTCCTCCGCCAGCGCAGTTACTCTGCCTAGCCGCCGACGCAAACAGGCTCTTGACTCCACGGAGCCCCCCCCCCCCTGAACGGCGAGCGCCCCACGGGGCCCCCGCAGCCTGGGCGGGAGCTCCGTGTGACAGACATTGCCCTGCACCCTCGGAGCTGCCAGCAGTGCGGCAAGGCGGGGGGCAGAGTTCGACTAGGGGATCGATTGCAGAATCGATTTACCCCAAAAATCGATTCGCTCGTCGAGTCCATGAGGAGTGCGTAGAGCGTCCGCAGATCTACGAAGAATTCTACGTACGACTCGACGCGAAAATTAATTCCGGGGTAAATCAACTCTGTAGTCGATCCACCACTCGAAGAGTGTTCCCACAGGGAGGTGCCCAGCGGCAGCCCCGCGTTGAGAGCAGACCCCGCCCTCCGTCCGTCGCAGCCGCTGCGCAAGCAAGGCACCTCCGATCGCAAGCTGTGGCGAGGGCCCGATCCTGGAAAGGAGCCGTCCTCTGTCCGTGTACAGTCGGGGCGTTGACCTGAGGAACCCTAGATAAGGAACGAGGCCCCTTTTTCCCATAAGTTAAACTTCGATGTCCCATCGAAACCCTAAGCAAAACCAAAGGCGAACTGCAAAACAACTAAGGAACGCCGAGCCCCTCCCCAACGAAAAGGTTCCTTCCTCAGCGCCCCGACCGTAGCTGTTGCGCACTCGTTGTGCTTCTGGTGGCCAGCTCCGCGGAAGTCTCGGGCGACTGTCCCGTTCCGAGAGAGGATCGCCGTCCACGTCCATCCGTGCAAGCGTTGGGCTCTTCTGAGGGCCGGTGTGTGCGTGGCGCCAGAGCGAGAGTCCCGGTTTGACGACCATTCGGTCTCCATCCGAAGAGCTGCTGGGCGCGTTGCAGACACGCGCTCGCGGCGTCGAGGCGGTGCCCCCCATTCCGAGACCGGCCTTCCCTCCCTCCGTGCAGCCTTCGGGGGCGTCAGATATTGCAGGACCGCTAGCAGTGAGCAGTCTTCGGGCGACGTGCGTGGACCGCCCTGGCGACACGCGTTGTGTGGCAGGGAGGTCTCCAGGTATGACCAGCCTCGAACGTACCCCTGTCCCTAAGATTGTCGGGGATGGACAGACCTCCTACCCTGACACGTCGATTGAGGAATTGGCCGTTTTCGGTTCGCGAGAGAGCGTCGAGGCCGTCATTTTTGCGGGTCCAGGTCCGTTGGTTTCGGTCCCAGGCCGTTTTCACTAGGGGGAGGTCTACTAAAGGGAGGTTTGTCCACCGCCGAGATTGGCACGCCAAAAGGCGATGACAATCTTAGGGATTCGCCCTCAAAAAATAAGGGAATCCCTGAGGTTGGCATCGTGATGAGGAGGTGCCCAGCATAGGGATAGGGATATGTTCCAGGCTGGTAAAGATATGCGTGTGTGTTGTTTTCTCTTCGGCTTACACATCCGGGGGCCTTGAGGGGCCTTCAGGTTCCGCCTGTGCGAAAAAAGATTGGCGGGCGTTTTGGCTCCGATTTCGGTCCCCAGGACCGTTGACGGATCGATCTGGCTCGAAAAGCGCCGTACAACGATAGGGGTGGGTCGAGGGTTGCGCCATGATCTCTCGCGGAGTCGTTTTTTTATGCAATCGCTTTCCCATCCCCTTCTCACGACGCAGGATCATGGGGTATTCTCGCTAGTGCTGCGGCGGGCTCCAGCGACTTGGCAGGCGGAACGGGCGAAGCCTGCAGCACAACCCAGTCAAACGCCGCGCGTGCACCCAGGGACATAGGAAGCCTTCCGTGCAGCTGAGAAGCAGGAGTACAGTGTTGGTAAGGGGAGGAGCACGAACCGCGGGACAGTGATACAACGACAGTCGCTGTCCACCATCCCAAGGTTCGGCTTCGTCGACCCGGAAGACGGCACTGAGGACTGCCCGTTCGAGATTGGAAGGGATCTTATTCCTTCATCTACCTGTGACTCTCTCCCTCTCTCTCTCCATCTCTCTGGCCCTCATATTCCTTCCTCTCCTTCTCTCTCCTCTCATTTTTCCTCTCCCTCCCTTTCCCCTACCTTACCCGCCCCGCTCCACTCAATCCTTACCTACCCACCCACCCACCCCATCATTGCTTACAAAACCTTCTCCCCACTCGACTGGCCGCCGACGAGGGGTTCTGTTACACACTAACATGTCAGAACACGTAAGTGTAACGCATCGATATTGGGCAGGGGTGGTGGGGTGGGGGCAAATTGGCCGCTGCGTGCTGACCCGCCATCCCTGTCAAAAGTCAGTGCAGAATGACGGAGGGTGCGCGCGCCATGTGCGAGATTGATAGCCACCCCGCCGCTACTCTGCATGGCTTTCGTCAGGGATGGCTGGGGTGTTGGCAGGTTGCTCGATCTGAGCTGTTACACCCACTTTGCACCTGGCGCACCTAGTGCACCTGGGGCACCATGGGCGTCTGACTCACCTGGCGCGCCTATCGCGCCTAACCTGGCGCATGTGGGGCACGTGGCGCATGTGGCGCATGTGGCGCGCGCGCGGCGAGCCTCGCGCGCGCGTCGCTCTTCTAACGTCATTTCTGATTCGCCATTGCTGTCCACTGGACGGCGACCGCTGCCGATGCCGACTCCTGGGTGTCACTCATGCAGCGGGAGGGCAGGCGGGAGTTGCGCGACGATTCGTGGCTTTCTCTCTGAGGGCGTGACCATACTATGCCTTAGTCGCTGCTCTGCGTAAGCGCCCCCTCCTTCACCCGAGCGGCCGCCGACCCGCCCACGAAACTATTACAGAGTGCACACGGCGGCAACTGCTGGACCGTGCGCGGGCACCCCATCACCGTTCCGAGTATTGGGTCTTGGAAGGTGGGTGGGGGTTGAGACATACGTGTTGGCCGCTGCATCCTGGCCACCAATCCTTATCCAAGCCAGTGCCACGTTGTCGGGGATGCACACGTCGTATGCGATGCTGGCCACCCCTCCCCCACTCTGCACGGTTTCGGTCAGGGATGGTGGGGATGTCGATGTATTACCCGGTGTATGTTGTCCGATGCACCAGCGCATTTGGCGCACACGGCGCGTGCCGCGCGGGGCGCATTTCGTGTGCGCCTGGAGCACGCGGCATGTGCGACGCATCTGGCGCACCGGGTGCGCCCAGCGCACGTGCGACACCGCGCGCACCTGGCGCCTGGCGCATCTGGCACGCCTGGCGCACCCCGCGCGCATGGCGCACCTGGCGTTTGTATTGGTGCCCAATAGCTCTCTATCGGATGACGACCGTTGCCTAAGTTGAATTTCGGGTGCTACTCACGCGTGGGATGGTGTGGGAGATGGCGAGGCAGCTTGCTGCGTTCCTGTCGTGGCTTTGAACCTGCCCTACCCTAGCTCCCGTACCTATCTTTGCACCCGCCCTCCCTATCACGAACAGCTTTACTCTCCCTCCTCTCCCTACCCCCTGGTCATCAGAGGGTTACCTCAGCGCGACACCTGTTTCCGCTCCGCGTACCTGCCAAGGGATTCCGAGCTGCGAGCCCAGGGGGCCAAATGCCGCGAAGCACTACTGAGGCGCTCGCACAGCCAGGTAGGAGATGTGGAGAGGAGGCTCTTGGCTTAGGGTGCAGTTTAAAAGTTTAGCAGCTGTCCTGTCCAACGTTTGCCCCCCATGCGTTTTACCACCGCGAGGGCGATGGGCTGCTGTTGACTCCTGGCGCTGGCTCATCCGATCACTCTCTTTTTCTTGATCCGAAAACTTCTCTTTCAGGCAGCCTGATGGGGGAAGTGAGATAGTTCTGGAAAGCTCTCAGAGCGTTCTGGAGTGCTCTGGAGTTGATGCGGCGCCCGATAATCAGGTCTTCTGGGCCTGCTGTTTTTTTCAGTGGTTCCCGACTAATTCCCAACCCGATGTTGTATTTGTCCTGCCTTCGTTCTACGGTCCTTCATTTCTTATCCCCTCCTCCCAATCCTGATCTCGCCTTCCCCCTCCCCGCACCCCATCGCGCCCGCTTCTTGATTCCCCCCAGGGCCCGAACCCGGCATCCAGAGGCTCAAAGCCATACACGTTGGACGTCGTGTTTTTCTTCCGAAGCCCAGGTCTGGGTTTTCGGCCTTCGATCGAAGAAGAAAACACGCCATAAGCATAAACTTTTGGCGCCCCGCGCGGATTTCCTGGATCCACGCTGGGGCCCCCCCGGCGGCGCCTCCGGCGCCGTCCCTGGCGCGCTCAGCGCGGCTCCAAGAAATCCGCGCGGAGCGCCACAAGTTTCTGTTTATGGCGTTGTTGTTCCTGCTTCTCGTGCTGTTCTTCCGAAGCCCAGGTCTGGGTCCTTGGCCTTCGACGCACCTCGGCCCCCCGCGGGGGCGCGAATCCAGCCGCGCTCCGTCGGAAACTGGATCACATACACTACTAGTGGCGGGCTGTTCTCCAATCCCGGGACTTCTGGAGGGTCGAGGACGACGCTGGGGTGGTGTGGTGTATAAGTTGTTGTTCCCCGATGTCCCAGGGAAAACAAGGACAAATGCATACACCGGGGTCCCGTATACCCCAGGATCCGGTCTCCAGTTCAAAGTTCCATGCAGGGCCAGAAAAAGCGTCGGTGTACAGCCGGGGCCCTGAAGAAGGAACTCTTTTCGTTGGGGAGGGGCTCGGTGTTCCTTGATTGGGCTGCACTTTGCCCTCTGTTTTCCTGAGGTTTTCCATGGGAAATCGAAGTTCAACTTATGGGAGAAAGGGGCCCCGTTCCTGAGGTCAACGCCCCGACTGTGTACACCTTTTGGGTTCCTTTTGGGTTCCTTAGGTCAACGCCCCGACTGTATACACTGAACTTCGATTTCCCACGTCCATGGGAAATCGAAGTTCAACTTTTGGGTTCCTTAGGTCAACGCCCCGACCGTATACACCAGGATCCGCTCTCCAGTTCAGAGTTCCATGCAGGGCCGGAACAAGCGTCGGCGTGCAGAGTTCGATTCCTCACTCGGTGCGCCGAGGTCTGGGCCAGGAGAGCGGCTGCCCTCCTCCGAGAAGGGCGCGGCGCGAGGGCGCCGCGGGCGCGAGGATCACCGCGCCTCGCGCCTCGCGGGGCGCGAGGCGCGCCGTTGGGCGACCCAGAAAAATCGGCCACGACGACGACGAGGACGACGACGGCGGCGACGACGACCACGAAAGCGACGACGAAGACGACCACGACCACGACTTCGACGACGGCGGCGACGACGACGACGGCAACGACGACGACGACGGCGGCCACGACCACGTCCGCGACCACGACGACGAAGACGACGACGACCTGGCCAGAGCTTCGATGCGGATCTGGCCGTGGCCACGGAGGCCCCCGACTTCGGCCCTCGATCCTCGATGCCGGAGGTGCGGGGATCCATCCGTCTGTCCTCGCACGCCGCCGTGCGGGAAAAGACGGCCCCCGAGAACGTCTTCATACACCGAAGCGCGCTCACCGACGGCAATGTGCGCCGCCCCGCCCTCGCTGCTGCCGCCTTGCGGGGGCGAGCGCGGGGTCTGTGAGAGCGTTCCCGATGATCGTTATGACGATGATGATAATGATGAGGAGGATGATGATGATGATGCTGATGCGGATGATGATGATGATGATGATGATGATGATGATGATGATGATGCTGATGATGATGATGACGATGATGATGATGATGCTGACAATGATGATGCTGATGGTTATGATGATGATGATGATGATGATGATGATGATGATGATGATGATGATGACGATGACCATGACGATGCCGATGATGATGCTATTGATGATAGAGCTGCTGATGATGAAGATAATGATGATCGTCACGATGATGATGATGATGCTGATGATCCTGATGATGTTGGTGATGATGACGATGATAATGACGATGACGCTGATGTTGATGATGATGATGATGATGATGATGATGATGATGATGATGATGATCGTGATGATGACGATGATGATGACTATGATGATGAGTAGGAGGAGGACGAGGATGGAGAGGATTAGGATGATACTGATGATGCTGATGATGATGTCCATGATGATGCTGATGATGATGATGACCATGATGTCGATGATGGTGATGATGATGATGTCGATCGCCAGGATGATGCTGATGATGATGATCGTGACGATGATGCTGATGCTGATGCTTATGATGATGATGATGATGATGATGATGAGGATGAGGGTGAGGAGGATAAGGATGATGATGATGATGACGATGATGACGATGATGAGGATGAGGATGAGGATGAGGATCACGATGATCTTGATAATGATGCTAATCATGATGCTGCTGATGATAATGCTGATCATGTTGATGATGGCGATGATGATGATGATGATGATGATGATGATGATGATGATGATGATGATGATGATGATGATGATCTTGGTAATGATGCTAACGATGATGCTGATGCTGATGAAGATGATGATGATCGTGATGCTCATGACGATGATGGTGCTGATCATGACGATGATGATCGTGATCATGATGATCATGACCATGATGATGAGTAGGAGGAGTAGGACGAGGATGCGGATGATTAGGATGCTGATGATGATCATTCTGTCGATGATGGCGATGATGATGAGGATAGGATGATGGTGCCGATAATGAAGATAATGATGCTGATGGTAATGTTGATAATGCTGATGAGGATGATGATCATGCTGAGGATGATGATAATAGTGATGATCATGATGATGATGATGATGATGATGATGATGATGATGATGATGATGATGTGATGATGATGATGCTGGTGATGCTGATGACGTCGATTCCAATGACGATGACGATGGCGATGCCGATGCCGATGCTGATGATGAGTATGATGATGATGCTGATGATGATGATGATGATGATCGGGACGATGCTGATGATGACGATGATAATGATGATGGTGATGCTGATGACTATGATGATGATGATGATGCTAATGATGATGATGATGATGATGATGATGATGATGATGATGATGATGACAATGATGATGTTGATGTTGATGTTGATGTTGATGTTGATGATTCTGCTGATGCTGATGCTTATGATGATGATGATGCTGATGATGATGATGATGATGATGATGATGATGATGCTGATGCTGATGATGATGATGATGCTGATGATGATGTCCATGATGATGATGATGATGATGATGATGATGATGATGATGATGATGATGATGATGAGTAGGAGGCAGAGGACGAGGACGAGGAGGATTAGGATGATGACGGTGATGCTGATGATGGCAATGATAATGACGATGATGATGACGTCGATCTTCATGATAATGATGATGATGCTGATGGTACTGATGATGCTGATGATAATGATGACGATGATGGTGACGATGACGTTGACGATGATGATAATGGTGATGATCATGATGATGATGCTGATGCTGCTGCTGCTGCTGCTGATGCCGATGATGCTGATTAGGAGGACGAGGATGACCACGTTTATGATGATGAGGATGATGATGCTGTCATTGATGGGGATGCTGATGATGACGATTATGATGATGATTCTGGTAATGGCGCTACTGATGATGATACTGATGCTGATATTGCTGATGATGATGGTGATGCTGTCGATGATGGCGATGTTGATGGTGATGATGATGGTAACGATGATGATGATGATGATGATGATGATGATGATGATGATGATGATGCTGATGATGATGATGATGATGATGATGATGATGATGATAGTGATGTCGGTGGCCGCGATGATGAGGAGGAGGAGTGTGATGATGATGATGCTGCTGATGATTATATTGTGATGCTGGTGACAATGATGATGTTGATGCTGCTGATGATGACGATGACGATCATGATGGTGATGGTTCTGATGATGGTGATGACGACGATGATGATGATGATGATGATGATGATGATGATGCTCGTGATGATGGTGATGATGATGATGATGATGATGATGTAGATGATGATGGTGATGACCATGGTGAGTAGGACGAGAAGGACGAGGATGAGGAATATTTGGATGATGATGATGATGATGATGACTCTCTCGATGATGTTGATGAACATGACGATGATGATGCCGATACTTGTGATAATCATGATGGGCGTGATGATGATCATGATGGTGCTGATGCTGATGATGATGCTGATGATGGTGCTGCTGCCGGTGATGATGATGATGATGATGATGACGGTGACGATGACGATGTCGTTGCTGATGACGATCACGATGACGATGATGATGTTGATGATGATGACCATGATGCTGATCATGCCCATGGTGATGATGCTGATGCTGATGATGATGAGGAGGACCAGGATGAGTAGGATTCGAATGATGATGACTATGATGATGCTGTCGATGATGGCGATGCTAATGATGATGATGATGATGATGATGATGATGATGACGATGACGATGATGATCATGCTGGTTGAGATGATGATGATGATGATGATGATGATGATGATGATGATGATGATGATGATGATGCTGATGCTGATGATGATGATGATGATGATGATGATGATGATGATGATGATGATGATGATGATGATGATGATGATGATGATGATGATTATGATGATGATGATGATGATGATGATGATGATGATGATGATGATGATGATGATGATGATGATGATGATGATGATGATGATGATGGATCATGCGTGTTCTACCGCTGCTGGCGGAAAACTGGTGGAGTCACTAGGGGTTCCCACCCCGCCCCCCCTTCGAAAACCGGGGGGGGGGGTCACTACCGGTTCGAACCCCCCCCTTCCATCCCCCGTCCATGGTGAAAAGGGGGGGGGTCACTACCAGTTCGACCCCCCCCCTCCTCGCCGCCTGCAAACGATTCCTGCTCCTCGGGACAGTGGGACAGTGGTGGGGACAATGGGACAATGGTGAGGACGGTGGTGGTGGGGACAGTAGTGTGGGGACAGTGGTACAGTGGTGCGGACAGTGGGACAGTGGTGGGGACGGCGGTGGTGGGGACAGTGGAGAGGGGACAGCGGAACAGTGGTGGGGACAGTGGGGACAGCGGGACAGTGATGGGGACGTTAGTGGTGGGGACAGTGGTGAAGGCGGTGGTGAGGACGGTGGTGGGACAGTGGTACAGTGAGGAGAGTGGTGGGGACAGTGGGGACAGTGGGACAGTGGTGGGGACAGTGGGGACAGTGGAACAGCACAGTGGGATAGCGGCGGGGACAGTGGGGACAGTGGGACAGTGGTGGGAACAGTGAGACAGTGGTGGGGGCAGTGGGGACAAAGGGGGCAGTGGGACCGTGGTGGGACAATGGTTCGGACAGTGGGGACAGTGAGACACTGGTGGGGACAGTGGTGCGGGGACAGCGAGGACAATGGTGGGAACAGTGGGGACACTGGGACAGTGGTGGGGACAATGGGACAGTGGTGGGGACGGTAGTGGTGGGGACAGTGGTGTGAGGACAGTGGGACAGTGGTGGGGACAGTGAGGACAGTGGGACAGTGGTGGGGACGGTGGCGGTGGGGACAGTGGTGAGGGCGGTGGTGAGGACGGTGGTGGGACAATGGGACAGGGGTATAGTGGGGACAGTGGTGGGGACAGTGGGGACAGTGGTGGGAACAGTGGGACAGTTCAGTGGGCTAGCGGCGGGGACAGTGGGACAGTGGGATAGTGGGGACAGTGGGGACAGTGGGACAGTGGTGGGGACCGTGGGGAAAGTGGGGAGAGTGGGACAGTGGTGGGAACAATGGTGGGGACAGTGGGGACAGTGGGGGCAGTGCGACAGTGGTGGGGGCACTTGTGGGGACGGTGGGGGCGGTGGTGGGAAAAGTAGGGACATTGGTGGTGGGGACGGTGGTGCTGGGGACAGCGGTGGGGGATGTAGTGAGGACGGTGGTGGGGACTCAGGAATTGTTTGCCGGCGGTGAAGGGGGGGGGAAGGTTTCGAACCGGTAGTGAAGTGACCCCCCCCAGTTTTCTGGAGGGGTGGGAGGCGGGGGGTTCGAACTGGTAGTGACCCCCCCAGTTTTCTGGAGGGGGGGGTGGGGGGGAGGGGTTCGAACCGGTAGTGACCCCCCTCGGTTTTCTGGAGGGGGGGAGGGGTTAGGGGGGGGGTTAGCCAGGGGAAGGGGTGGGGAGGGGGGGGGAGTTCCAGCGAGGGGGGGGGTTTTCGAAGGGGGGGCGGGGGACCCCCGGGTTCCGGAGGAAGAGGGGGGGAATTTTCCACAGTAAAGCGGCGGTGGATCACGCGCTCTCTGATGATGATGGTGATGATTCTGATGATGATACTGATGATGATGATGATGATGATGATGATGATGATGATGATGATGATGATGATGACGAGCAGGATGAGGACGATGAGGACGAGGTTGATCAGGATGAGGATGATTGGGATGTTGATGATGATGCTGGTGATGATGATGTTGGGTGAGGGTGAGGGTGAGGATGATTATTATTGTGCTGATGACAATGCTGATGAT